AAACGGGTTAAAAAGGGTAATGAGAAATTCCTCACTGTTACCTTCCCACTGAAGTGGTACCTATTTATCATACTTACTCAGAATCAAATCCCAATTAATATAGTTCTTATTAAGCATGTTTAGGATCATTCGGTGAGTGGGCACAGTACTTTCTAATTTTAGACTGCATTCATGCATCACACACAACACAAATCTCAGTTTGTTTGAAATAAACATGAGCCCAAGTAGCTAACCAAGTGACTTCACTAACTGGGGCTCTTTTCCCCACTTACTGGGATTCTGAACTGTGGCTTAATCCCAGTTAAGAGAAATAAGCTAACCTTGGTTTGTGTTTACGAGGGGGCTGTTAAGGTCTGAAGAGGTCCATCCGTATTGACCTGTGCATAAGGCACTTCTTCTCCCAAGGTGTGCTGGGTACTACTAAATCTACATTCCCATTCTAAATACCAGAGTTCTGTGGCGCTTCTCTTGTTTGCTGTTGTAAACATTGCCGCCTGGTTTTCCTTCCTGATCAGAGGATGTCTTTTTGCCTTTTGTTACAGGCCTTAAAATCATAACCAACAGACTCTTTTTTACTGCTCATCTTTTAAGATAAACTGCTTTGTCTTTCACTTCAGAAAAAAGCTGGCTCTCAGTTACTTCAGCTGAAAAAAGCACGTTTTGCAGCTACTCGTGTAAGGAAGTTACAAAGACTGTCTCCTGTCTTCAACTAATCGAGTGGTTGGCTGTACAGTCATACAAGACTTGGTTGCATAAGGCTTTTGTGGCTTGCTTGTACCCAAGTCCTTCATTATTTAGTAGTTAGGTCTTTACCCCAGTCATAGTTTCTCTGCTTAAAGATGCAAACAATGGCTTTACTGCTATCATTTCCAACTCCTAAAAGAGTATGGGTGTAACTTTTATACAAAGCACTACATTGTGTTGCTAAAATACAAACAATTTTTGGGACTTCTATAGCTGCAAATATAGGCTTTCTTTTTACCCGCTGCCCCCTTTCGAGTGAGTTCAATACAGAAGCTAGAAACGTTTTTAAATATATGTGCAACAGTAGACAAAATTTTAAAATCAAGTTAAAACCCAAAGGGCCACTTTACACAAGGTTCTTTCCCTGGACGTGTGTATGAGAAAGCATTGCACAAAATATGTATATATATATTTGCGGCTTGGATTGCAGGTGCGTGCCGGCCCCTGCGTCTTCCCCGAATCATTTAAAAGGATCCTTTAAATGGTTGGGGATGAAGCAGGGGGGAGGGACCTGCAATGCAAGCCATAAATTTGTGACTTGGATTACAAGTGTACACTGGCCCCTGCTTCTCCCCCAAAGCATTTAAAGAATCCCTTTAAATGCTTTGAGGAGGAAGTGGGGGTGCTGCTTGGTCAGGCTTGGGGTGGGGCTTTTGCCAAACTGGAGCCCCCAAACCAGGGGAACCTAGGGGATGGCAACCTTACATTCTATGTATTTTGCATGTGTCTATAAGGGAGATTTTCATGTATGAGGAAGCTGTTGGTTAGTTTTTGTTACAGAATAAAAGACAAGAAGAGAATTCAGTGTTCTGAATGGCTTGTCCCTGAAAAGCACTGCAAATTAAAATATATTTGCCAGTAAATCAACAAATCTGTATCTGAGTTTTTTTCAGTGTTGTCAACAAAAAAAGCCATATAAAATAGAGGTCCTATTTCATTTTTATAAGGCAAAGGTTTCTTAACATATTCTCATTGTATTCCTCAGGGATTATGTGAGGAGTGAGTTGGAGTCTGGCTATGAAGGGCCAATGTACTTAGAACCTCTTTCCATGAATCGTTTTATGACAGCCTTAATAGGTGAGTACATTCTTATATTGACTCTTCAGTTTATCCCTTGTACAGAACTAGAGGTATAACATTTCTAGAAATTTTGAAGCCTTGCCCACAACTCTTCTCCAGACGTCTTGGGGAAACTTGAAATATATGTAACACTATTTTATCAAACATAAACTTATTTTACTGTGTTAACATAAAATGCATAATTTATAACTTGACACGTTAAATATGTAGTGCTTGGCATATTTTTGGAATTTAACCATGTCACTGCCTTAGTTTCTGACAGGTAAAATTGTAAATATACACAGTACTTGAGATAGAGTTGGAAATGTAAGCCAAATAGGCCATTGCCTGACATGTTTGTTCCAATCAGAAGCACAACCGGTGAGGTTCCTGAAGTGAGCAGGAAACTTTATTCGAACAGTGGGGAATCCAAGCATCAAAAGCCTAAATTCCAAAGACCAAGTGACAATACAAGCTTTTTATAATCATGCACAAACAGTCACTTGGACATGCACAGATGTCCATTCCTTTGTTTAACACCACATATCTTTCTATCCCAGAGGTGTCAAACTCATTTGTTACAAGGGCTGGATCTGATATAAATGTGACTTTGTCGGGCCAGGCCATGTGTGCCATAAAATGTAATGCCACATACTGGCGATATAAACTTCTTAAAGGACAGATTAAGAACATAATAACATAAGAGCCTTGCTGGATGAGACCAATGGTCCATCTAGTCCAGTGGCAAACCAGCCAAGGCCTTCCCCTGATGTTGCCTCCTGGCTCTGGGATTCAGAGGATTAGTGCCCCTGAATGTGGACATTCCCTTCAGTCACCATGGCTAGTAGCCATTGATAGACTTATCCTCCATGAATCTATCTAAAGCTGTTTATTCCTGTGGCCATCAATACATTCTCTGATAGCGAATTCCACATTTCAATCACTCCCTGTGTAAAGTAGCATTTCCTTTTGTCCATCCTGAACCTACTGCCCATCAACTTCATTGGATGCTCTCAAATTGTAGTATTTTGGGAGAGAGAGAGAGAGAGAGAAATGTCTCTCAACTCTGTCCCAAATTGTAGTATTTTGGGAGAGAGAGAGAAATTGTCTCTCAACTCTGTCTACCCCATGCATAATTTTATAAACCTTTATCATGTCCCCCTTAGTCGTCTCTTTCCTAAACTGAAAAGTCCCAGACTCTTCAGCCTTTCCTCCTAGGGAAGGTGCTCCAACCCTCTAATCATCTTGGTTGCCCTCCTTTGTACTTTTTCCAGCTCTGCAATGTCCTTTTTAAGAAGTGGTGTACTGTACACAGTATTCCAAATGAGGCCGCACCAGAGATCTGTACAGGGGGATTACAATATTGACCATTTTATTCTCAATCCCTTTCCTAATAATCCCTAACATAGACACTTTCATTGGAGTCACTAAACTGACCTTGTTTCAGTAACGCTAAGAGAGTAATGTTGAGTCATTCCAGCTGGAAAAGGTTTCTGACCCAGAAATGAATTCAGATTTTGGACAGAAATTTTAAATGACTCCAGTATCATCAGTCATAATTTATGCAACTGGCTGTAATTAGCAGCCATGTTTAAGGTGTGGAGGGTGTTGGGATAGTAGTGTTGTAGAGTTGGTGGGGTGGAGAGCACCACTTCATATAGCAAGTCGAGGCTCACATTTTTGGAACATTCCCTGATGTTACAGATTGAAAACCAACATGCCAGGCTAGTTGAGGGAACAGAACCTTTCTGTTTGCTGTTCTACTTTCTCTACGGAGGTCTCATGCCTGAGTCGGGGCGGTGTGAGGTTGGGGCTCCCGCTCCCGACCTTCGATGGAACACCATTGGTGCCTGCTCCCAGAGTTAGGAGTTTGGGAGTGCTCCTAGAACCCTCCTTAACAATGGAGGCCCAGGAGCAGCCACTGCCAAGTCGGCCTTTTACTGTCTTCAGCTGGTTCGGCAGTTGGCTCCCTTCCTCGATCGCAGCGACCTGGCTACAGTGATCCACGTGGTGGTCACCTCAAGGCTAGACTATTGTAATGCTCTCTACATGGGGCTGCCTTTGTTGCAAATCCGGAGGCTGCAGCTAGTGCAGAACTGTCTCCCTAGACGGGAGCACATTCAGCCGGTGCTGAAGGCGCTGCACTGGCTGCCAATAGCATACCGAATTCACTTCAAGGTGCTAGTACTTATCTTTAAAGCACTAAATGGCCAGGGTCCGACATACCTGAGGGACTGCCTTTCCCCACATATATACCCCAGAGAACACTACGTTTGGGGTCACAACATCGGCTGGTTATTCCAGGCCCCAGCGATGCCAGGCTCACTGCGACCAGAGCTAGGGCCTTTTCAGTGGTGGCTCCTTACTGGTGGAACAAGCTCCCGGAGGAAATCAGGGCCCTGCAGGATCCTATGCAGTTCCGCAGGGCCTGTAAGACGGAGCTCTTCCACCAGGCTTTCAATTAGGAGCCGCCAACGAATACCACCAACGGCCACTATTACTATCTGTGGCATAGGCCGGGTTGCAGTGTGATTGCGCCGCCGCTGAGTGGGATGCTCTGACGTACTGCGAGCACTTTAATTCGTATATTGTAATTGATTGATTGTTTAACAGGTTTTATTGTAACTGATAGATTGTTTGATTGGTTTTAACGTGAGCCACCCTAGAAATACAACAAACAAACAAACAAATAAATAATATTTGCACAGAGAGATTTCTAAAGAAAAGGAACATTCAGCGGATTCCATTTTACCACCTTGTGGCTCTGCGGCCACATTCCCACTTTATTGTCCTGTGTCTATGAACTCAACTAAGCCTGAGCATGTGGCTACTTTTGTGGTCAGCTTGGAATCCTAGCAATATATTGCATGTCATAGGACACATGTCTTAAAAAATTAGCTTCTGTGAAGCTTCACGCCACCAGCAGAAGCTACGTTAAGATATTACTGTAAACCCTTTTTTGTTAGAGGCAAATTGAGATCCCTCACTGCTGCCCAAAAGCTCAGATCTCCTCAGGGTCCCCCACCCCCATTTATGGTCTTTTAGGAGAAGAACTGGAGAAGGTGTTAAATTTGGAGGCAGTATGTGTTCCTTTAATCACTCTTAGTCAGATCATCTGCTTTTAGATCATTCATTGTCACGTTCTTTGTCACCTCTGTGAGGATCATGTATAGCTGGTTACAAATGGGTGTTGGGGAATTAGAAATCATCAGAGTTATAGCTGTCAAATTCTATGCTGCATAGAGCCAGTTTGGTGGAGTGGTTAGAAGTACGGACTCTGATCTGGGTGGATGTAGCCTTGGATTACATTATTTATTAATCGGGATACAGTCGCAGTGTGCAGGGCTGTTTTAAGCCAGCATTAAACTAACGTGTACAGGCTTGATGTATTGCTTGGTTCACATATGTACCTCTCCCCTTTCTTTCTCATGTGGAGAAACCTGGGTAAAAACGGATTCCGATTGTCTATGATATAGAAATGCTGGTATTGTAGGTTAGCTGGAGTTAGTTTACCCACACACACACACACACACATACAAACCAGGATTCTAAATCAAGGTTTAATCCATGCTTAGAATTCCAGTGTGTTGAGAAAACTAATTTTGGTTAACCTGAGTTCCTGCAGTCATACATCACAGGTCACTGGAATTAACTTCTAACTAGCATTGTCCACACAGCAAGTGAGGTTCTGGACCTGGCAACAAGATGAATTAGTGCATGTTGAGTTTCAGTCAGGGTCCAGAATGACTGAGTTTTATGAACTCCTGAACAGTTAAGGCAAGCTATGGCTTGGCATGTTTGCCAGGGCTGTAGCTGCAGCATTCTCCCTGCTCAGCATGAAATGACTCCTGACTGCCTCCTCTCAAACAGCTGAGTGATCAAATGGCAGTTCAAATATCATTTATTGAGAGCCTATAATTTGGGTAGTTTCGATTTCGCTGTCTGTCTTCTTCAGAAACACATTTCCAAGTTTTCCTCTTTGATCACAGGCTCTGGGAAGCCTTGCCATTTGTGAACGTTGAAACTGTCATGATCTTATCAAGAGTTCCTAAATGTAACCCAGGAGGATTGCAGCTACCGAATCTCAGACTATATTATGAAGCGGTCTGTCTAACCTGGATGGAACAATGGGTGAAACTTGAGAATGATAAACTATTGGGGCTAGAGGGCCATGACTGTAGATTTGGTTGGCATGCATATTTATGGTATGATAAGGTTTAAGTTAGTTATGACTTGCTAGCTTATTGTTTGGAATGTATATATAAAAATATATACCTCTGACAGGACCAGAATAGATAAGGAAGTCTATCTCTATCTATCTAGTACTGCTCATACGGCTGTCACCTTAAGCAGAAATCAGAACCTAAGAAAATATTTTAAAATACCTTAGTATTATTTATCTTATGTATTTGATTAGTGTGCCTATGAATATTGCCACTGAGAGGGTGACACGATTAGATAAGGAAGTCAGTAGTTGTAGTGGTGGGTGGATGTAGCCTTGGATTACATTATTTATTAATTGGGACACAGTCGCAGTGTGCAGGGCTGTTTTAAGCCAGCATTAAACTAACGTGTACAGGCTTGATGTATTGCTTGGTTCACATATGTACCTCTCCCCTTTCTTTCTCATGTGGAGAACCCTGGGTAAAAACGGATTCAGATTGTCTATGATTTAGAAATGCTGGTATTGTAGGTTAGCTGGAGTTAGTTTACCCACACACACACACACACACATACAAACCAGGATTCTAAATCAAGGTTTAATCCATGCTTAGAATTCCAGTGTGTTGAGAAAACTAATTTTGGTTAACCTGAGTTCCTGCAGTCATACATCACAGGTCACTGGAATTAACTTCTAACTAGCATTGTCCACACAGCAAGTGAGGTTCTGGACCTGGCAACAAGATGAATTAGTGCATGTTGAGTTTCAGTCAGGGTCCAGAATGACTGAGTTTTATGAACTCCTGAACAGTTAAGGCAAGCTATGGCTTGGCATGTTTGCCAGGGCTGTAGCTGCAGCATTCTCCCTGCTCAGCATGAAATGACTCCTGACTGCCTCCTCTCAGCTGAGTGATCAAATGGCAGTTCAAATATCATTTATTGAGAGCCTATAATTTGGGTAGTTTCGATTTCGCTGTCTGTCTTCTTCAGAAACACATTTCCAAGTTTTCCTCTTTGATCACAGGCTCTGGGAAGCCTTGCCATTTGTGAACGTTGTGTCACAATCTTATCAAGAGTTCCTAAATGTAACCTTATGGGCAGCAAGCATAAAATGTATCGTTGGGCTTATTAAATTAGTCGTTACTCATAATACAGTAAGTAGGGTTTCAGTCTTAAAATAGTCTAATTTGAACTAAGTTGTTCAGTGACACTTCCCTAGAAATGTAATGATAGATAACCTCTTCGATGCCTGCAGCTGGCCAAATGCATAATCTTTTGGTTTGCATTTTTAAGACTCAGGCACACTCTGAGGATATGCAGCAGGGTGATGTGTCTTTGCTTCAAAGCTTAACAGTTTTAGTGAGTTCACATTGCAGATCATCATTGTATAAGACTGCCCTTAAGACAAGACACATCTTATCTCTCAATATAGAGATTGCCACAAATTCCTTTTGCTTTTAAGTGTTTTAAATAGCTGAACAATGCCTTCTTAGCCAACATGTGTAGCTATTAAAAGGTGGGTTGGGTTGTGATCTAGACGTCATACTCACTGATGAAGTTTTGTGGGGAATAGCTCTCTTAACCAACCTCAAAATGGCACCTATTGGTTATTCACTCCTGTTAGGTTGTTAGGGTGGTGCCTGCCTGCTAGATCTAGGGCTTTTTCCGCAGCTCTCCTGGTTTGATGGAATAGTCTGCCTGAAGTTTCTAAGCAGTCTTCCACTGCCAAGATTCTACAAAGTATGCAAGGCAGAATAATTCAGGAGGGCTTTTGACGCCAAACTGATTTTTGATTATTTGTGTATGGTGGTCTTTTTAAAGAATCTGTAGTTGTATATTGTTTTTATTATTATTGTAACCCTTCTTAAGTACAGTTTTGGAGAAAGGTGGGGTAAAATATTGAAAGAGTGGTTTTTCCTTAAAGTCCAAGTGTCTTGCTGCTTAATGCTCCCATGTTATTTTCAGGTCAGCTAGTGGTGTGCACCCTTTGCTCCTGCGTCATGAAAACCAAACAGATCTGGCTCTTCTCTGCTCACATGCTCCCTCTGCTGGCTCGGCTTTGCCTTGTCCCTCTAGAAACTATTGTTATCATCAACAAATTTGCTATGATTTTTACTGGCTTGGAAGTTCTCTATTTTTTGGCATCTAATCTTCTGGTACCGTATAATCTTGCAAAATCTGCCTATAGAGAACTCGTACAGGTAAGTTACATTGAAATAAGCAATTGATTTTATTGATGTGTCTTGGTATACGTCTATCTGTCTGGAAATTGCAGGTAGCCATGTTTGTACACAGCAGCGATAAAATCATCAGTAGTGTATAGCAGTCATCAAGCTTTAGAGTTCAAAAGAAGTGTTCATCAAGCTGGATGTTAAATGAAAGAAGATTTGGGGGGGGGATGGGGGGCAGTGCGAGTACCTGGGACTGCAAATTATAACATGATGGAACAGAACATGCGCGTACGTGTAATTAGTTTAGACCATGCTAGCTGAAAGAAAAGAAGAAAAATACTGTTACACCAAAGCTTACTTGGAAAAATATATAATAGCAACAGTGTTTTAAAAACTGGAATTTCTCCCTAGCTTGTGAACTTTTCCTAGAAGGAGTTTTCATTACACCCACAGAATGTACTGCAGTTATGTGTAAAACATTTCTAGAAAGTTCATACATTGGATGATTTCATTGTTGAGTGAGAGGGAGATCCCCTGGATCCAAAAGTTTATGTGGTCCATCGAAGTACTGGAGCTTTCCTGACATCCCCAGGTTATTCTTCTCTCTGTGGAGCCATATTCTGACAATACTGAAGGGTACAATGATGCAGCAGGGGAAAGATTATACTTTGAACATTTTTAATATTGTTATGTTTGCTGTTGCATACATCCTTGTAGAATAATCTTTACTGTTATATCTGTTACTCTTCTGGCTTCTTATGGCTCTTACAGATTTGCTATATAGCATGGCAAGAGTCTGGGCTGGGAGCTAGGAAACCAAATCTCACCTCAGCCATGAGTTCATTAGGAGTCCTTAAGTAAAGCCCTGATCTCTCAATCTGAGCCACCGTATAAAATATGTGGAGCATAATGTAGTATTACATGTTTGCTGGAATGATGTGGTCTCAATGCCTTAAAGTCATGTAGAAATGCTCAGTATTCTTTTCATGCTGAACATCATGTGGAGCAAATCAAACTGTCTTTGGGAAGAAAGATTTAATAACAAGCAGCCAATACTGGACCAGGCTGCTAAGACCAGAAACTGTCTTCCCTAGGATATAGGTATGACAATTGTTGCATAGATACTGTCTGGCATAGCTGTGTTGCCTCCCTGTACTCACTCCTTTCTTCACTTCCTCCCATTCCTTCTCCTTTCTAATTGCATTTCCCACACACACATTATGCCCTCACCCCCCCCCATGGGGGCCAATTTTCAGGACAGTTGTTGCATCATGCTGCAATGGCTTCTGGGTAAAGTGGGGCGTGCTGTATTTGGTCTCTCCCCACATTGTATGAATCAGCCGTTACGCCTTGGAGAACCCATCTAATCATATATTCCTTCCTTTGCCCTTCACTAATCCAGACTGAGCCCAAGTTCCAGGTATCAGAGAACACAAACTTAGACCTATTTCTCGCCAAAAATATGCATATGGGAGAAAAGAGTCTAGCATAGGGTTGCCAAATGGGGCCGGGGGG